TCTCAAAAAATAAATAAATAAATGCTAAAGATGAGGGTACAAAGAAAGGGTTGGACTCTCAGCTTCCAATGCCTGTCTCCCCCACCCCTCTGCTCAAGCCCCGTCTAGTCTCTGCATCTGGGCCCAACTACATGCGTCCTCCACCGGGAAGCCCTCTTGGGTTTCTCTCGTCCTTGCTCCCCTGGCCAGTGGGTCCACCTCTCTCTGTCTCTGTGCTGGGCAGATGCCACACCTCTCTGCTTTCTGGCTGGACAAGGCCGGGAGGCCCCCCAGGTGCAGAAGAGGTTTCTCCAAACCTCAGCCTCCCCCCCTCGTGCCGGCAGCTTCAGCATGTGCCGCCACCCTCCCCCCCAGCAGTTCCGATCACACCAACATCTGGAGAATGGGCCGCCACTGGGGTCTGTCTGCGGCCTGAGGGCGGGCATTTGCATGTGAGGACAGATATACATGCTCGCCTCAGCCCTCCGCCTCCGCGTACCTTGGCTGGCCCTCCACACCTGGGCCCGGACAGGTCTCCGCTGAGTGCCTGGATTTGCATGGCCCCGTGTATTTCTGGGCAGGGTATCAGCTGGGGAGTCTGGGAGGAAGTTGTTGAGGGAAGCTGGGGTAGTCGGTAGGTCGGTAGGTCGTGTCTCTTTTTTTTTTGAGACAGAGTCTCGCTCTGTTGCCCAGGCTAGATGAGTGCCGCGGCGTCAGCTAGCTCACAGCAACCTCAATCTCCTGAGCTCAACGATCCTCCTGCCTCAGCCTCTCCGAGTAGGCTGACTACAGGCATGCGCCACCATGCCCGGCTAATATTTTCTATATATATTTTTAGTTGGCCAATTAATTCTTCTATTTTAGTAGAGACGGAAGAGACAGGGTCTCGCTCTTGCTCAGGCTGGTTTCGAACTCCTGACCTGGAGCAATCCGCCGGCCTCGGCCTCCCAGAGTGCTGGGATGACAGGCGTGAGCCACCGCGCCCGGCCTGTCGTGTCTCTCTTGACCTGCTCCACTCACCAGATCTTCCTGGCCGCTCCTGGGCCTGGTTGGGGGGGGGGAGCCCTAGTCTCGGGGAGACAGAGCTGGGGATGTGTACCCCTGACCCTATGTGGTCAGAACCGGAGAAGGAGAACGGGGACCCGTGGGAGTCCAGAGGAATGGCACAGGGGGCTTCCTGGAGGAATGGATTTTTCAAGTTGGGTTTTGATGTGTGAAGAGGAGCTGGCCAGGCGAAGAAGGAGAATTAAGTGCCTCCTAGGCAGAGATATTTATCAAAGGGAGAGAGAGGTAGGCAGGAGCTGATGTGGGCAGTGGCCTTGAAGGCCACTGGGTGCTGTGACTTTGTCACAAGGGCGGTGGGGAGCTACGGAGAGTGTGCAAGCAGGGGTCAGGAGTGTCAAATCCCCGCATGAGCTCGTCAGCCCCTTTCAGGCCTGGCACCAGAGTTGACGGAGGATCTCCTCGTGTTCTAGAGGCCCCCAAAGGCCCTGCAGAACAGTGACCTAAAATGCAAGGCACAGGCCTAGCACAGAGGGCCCTAGCCTCGGTCTCTGCCCAGACAGACTTGGCCCTGGCCTCCTGTCCAGCCTCCTGCCACCTCCACCCTGGTCCCCGACAGTCCTGCACCCCATGGAAGCCACAAGCTGCGTCTTTTGTTTTTTTGATTTGTGGTTTTTTTTTTTGAGACGGAGTCTCACTCTGTAGCCTTGGTTAGAGGTGCCGTGGCGTCAGCCTCGCTCACAGCAACCTCAGACTCCTGCGCTCCAGCGATCCTCCTGCCTCAGCCTCCCGAGTAGTTGGGACTACAGGCACGCGCCACCGTGCCCGGCTAATTTTTTTTCTATTTTTAGTTGTTTGGCTAATTTTCTCTCTATTTTTGGTAGAGACGGGGGTCTCGCTCTTGCTCAGGCTGGTCTCGAACTCCTGAGCTCAAGCAATCCTCCCGCCTCGGCCTCCCAGAGTGCTAGGATGACAGGCGTGAGCCTCCGCGCCCGGCCTCCCATGCCTTCTTGTGTCAAAGCCCTGTCACAGCCTTTCGTCACTCTTAGACCAAAACCCACAGCCATCCCCAAGCTCAGAAGGCCCAGAGTGGCCCAGACTCTGTGGCCTCTTGCCCTCCCTCCTCCCTCGGTCCTTGTTGCTGTTTCTCGCCCTTCCTCAGGGCCTTCCCACCTGCTGTTCCCCCTGCCTGGCGCCCACTTCCTGTCTCAGCTCTCCGGTCTCAGTTGGGGGGGGGAGACCCCCTGCCTTCCTGGCTCTCCCGCAACCCCCCTGTCTTGTGACCCCTGCCCTAGCCATAGAGTCTGTCTCTAAAATGGGGACAGGCCGGGCACGGTGGCTCACGCCTGTCATCCCAGCACTGTGGGAGGCGTAGGCGGGCGGATTTGCTCGAAGTCAGGGGTTTGAAACCAGCCTGAGCAAGAGCGAGACCCCGTCTCTACTATAAAAATAGAAAGAAATTAATGGCCAACTAATATATAGAGAAAAAAATCAGCCGGCCGTGGTGGCACATGCCTGTGGTCCCAGCTACTCGGGAGGCTGAGGCAGGAGGATGGCTTGTGCCCAGGAGTTTGAGGTTGCTGTGAGCGAGGCTGACACCACGGCACTCACTCTAGCCTGGGCAACAAAGTGAGACTCTGTCTCAAAAAAAAAATAAATAAATAAATAAAATAAAATAAAATGGGAACAGACTGAGAAGGGACCAAAGCCCCGTCCTCTAGGCCCAAGAGACTCAGGTCCGAGCACTGGCCCAGGCTCTGCTCTCCTGGGACCCCGGGCACAAGGGGCGTGTCCGGAGGAACGTCCGGGCCAGTGTGCCCCTCCAGCCCCCTAGGGGCCCGTCAGAGTGGGGGCCGTCCCAGCCGTGGGAACGCACCCGATTCCGGCCAGGGATTAAAATTAGCTGGGGAGGTTAAATTTAGCGCGTCGAGCCAGAGCTGCGGGGCTGGCTAGGGCTTGCCGGCCTTAGATCTGCGTGGCTGTCGTGGCTCAGACACCCAGCCCAGAGAGGGCAGAGGGCGGGCCTGGGGTCACACAGCAGGCCAGACATGCCAGCCGAGGAGTCTCACACTTCTGCGCCCTGGACCCCTGGGATGGTGGAGGGTCCCTCCCGCCCAGGGTGCTGGGGCTGGGGGCTGGGAAGCAGCCGCTCATGGAAAAGGACCTGAATTTCTTTTTTTATTTTTTTTGAGACAAAGTCTCACTCTGTTGCCCAGGCTACAGTGCGTGCCATGGCGTCAGCCTCGCTCACAGCAACCTCAGACTCCTGGGCTCAAGCCATCCTCCTGCCTCAGCCTCCCGAGTAGCTGGGACTGCAGGCATGCGCCACCACGCCCGGCTCATTTTTAAATGTATATTTTTAGTTGGCCAATTAATTTCTTTCTATTTTTAGTAGAGACGGGGGTCTCACTCCTGCTCAGGCTGGTCTCCAACTCCAGAGCTCAAGCGATCCTCCCCTCTCGGCCTCCCAGAGTGCTGGGATGACAGGCGTGAGCCACCAGCCCTGGCTGGCCAAAAAGTGAATTTTATGTGATGTGAATTTCACCTCCATTTGCAAAAACAAGGGAACTCCCTCATGATGCCCCCACTGGCAAAGACTCCTGCCTGGAGCATTTCCTTCCAGTCTTTTCTTTCCCAAACTCAATGCAATGTTTTAATATTTCCTTGTCAGCAAGGCCCTGGATCTTGGCTGCGGGGCTGTCGGGCGTCGTTGAACGCGATGCACCGCGTGCGCCCAGGCCCAGCGCGTGCAGCTGCTCAGCGCGTGAGCCTGGCCCCGTGCGCGTTCACGGTCCGGGTCAAGGTCAAGGTCAAGGTCACGGCCAGCGGCGCCGGTGACCGCTTCAGTGACCGCTGTCCGCTGAGCGCCTCCCATCCGGCCTGCGGGGGCGTTTACGCGGTTCCCCGCGTTCACACCCGGAGCCTGTATGTGGCGCCTGCTGCATTCGGGCACCTGTGAGCGCCTCACGTGGCTTAGCCATGTTATCTCCCAGCAACCCTGGGCGGTGCACACCACGATTATCCCTGCTGCAGAGATGGGGAAACTGAGGCCCAGGGAGCTCAGGTTCACCTGAGGTCCCATGGTTGCCGGCTCTCTTGGTTTTTTTCCTTCCTTCCTTCCTTCCT